AAAACAAAGGCAAGATGGCCAAGAAGGAAGAGAAATGCGTTCTCCAGTGAGCGGCCTTCCCGCGGCGGCAGCAAAATCGCAGCGCGGCTTTCTTACGTTCTTAAAATGCCGACATGAGACTGGGAAAAACAAAAAAAAAAAAAGAAAAATGTTTTGAAAAAAAATTAAACTTTTTTCCATTTTCTTAGGCCATATCTAGGCTGCGCCGGGCCCCACTCCGTTGTTTTTTTGTTTTCCATTCAAGCGAACTCGCGTTGTCCCATGATTTCCTTGTGGGCTCAGCTCTCCTGCCGAAAGCGTTGGAAATGGAATCGCCGAGACCCCTGGCGTGCGGGCGATGCCGGAGATGGGCGGAAGGAGAAGAAATAGTCTATCCTGGTTTCTGGAGCTGGAGGAGGGCTGAGTTTTGAAATAAAAATGTTTTTGTCGTAATAGGATTAGAGAGGGGGATATAGGAAAAAAAAAAATCATTGGGAATGGTTTCATCTAGTCCTGCCATATGTAATACTTAATAAGCTACCTACATTTTATAGTTAGGTCAGATCCACCCCAGTTATTATTAAAAATGTGCTGTATTTACCAGTGGTTTATTACATCAGTTTTACATTTCCCCGGGAGTAGAGCCGAGCTGCTCTGGTTTACTCGGGGGGCTTCTCCCCCAGAGCTGGCACAAAACCCTGGGAGCGGCTGCGAGCGGAGCGGGGCAGCCCGGGGCAGAGACCGGCCCGGCCCAGGACAGCGCGACACTTCCCACCCGCGGACCGGACCGGACCGGACCGGACCGCGCCGCCCGCTCCGCGTTATTTATTGCGCCCGGCCGCGTTCCCCACCGCACCCCGCCCCGTCCTGTGCCCCCAAGCGTGTCCCGCGCTCGCATCGTCCCTTCGTGGAGCTCGTCTCGTTTATTTATTACAACGTCGAGTCATATATACAATTTTCAATAAAACCCGAATCTTTCTTACCGTAACTGCCGCTTTCCTCTTTACCTGGGAAACTCCCTTCACCCCTCCCGCCTTCAGGCGGCCGGGGAGGGGGCGCGGGGGGCGGGAAGGGACCGATCCCGGCGGGAGGGGCAGCGGGGCTCCGCGCCCCGAGCCGCCCCGGCCGCCGCCGCTTCGCCAACGCAACGAAACCCACCGGGCGGAAAAGTTTTTCGTTTGATTTTAATAAAATGCAACTCGGGGAGGGGGAGGTAAAACTTTTCTCCGCGGGGCCGATGCCGCCCGGCAGCGGCGGGGGGGCTGCGCGGCGAAAGCCCGGCCGCGGGCGCGCAAGGAGCGCGGCCGCGGGGAGCGGAGCGGGCGGAGGGAGCCCGAACCCTGCGCGGGACCGCAGCGGCGCCGGCGGCTCCAGGGGCGACTGCGGCCCGCTCCGCGCTGCGCCCTGCCGCTCTCGCCAAAAGAAGTCCCCCGCGGAGGAGGGAAGCGCCCGGTTTTGTGCGAGCGGCCGCCGGTGCCGCGGGATGTACCGGCCTGGGAAACTGGGGGCTGCCCCGGGGCCCGCAGGTGGATTTGGCCCCATGCGAAGTTTGGGAAGATGCGCGGAACACCCCGGCGCCGGTGGGGCTGGGGCAGCGGGCTCTGCAGTGCTCTTCTGCCCTCCCGTAAAAATACAGGAGCAGGGGACGGCAGGAAACACACTGCGAGGGTTCCGCGGCTGCGGAGCGCGGCGGAGGCTCGGGAAGGAAGAGGCGGCAAAGCCCGCGGCGCTGCCTGCCCGGCCGGAGCTGCTGAGCCCCGAAGAGTGGGACTGCCCCTGGGGCTAGGGGGGCCGCGGGCGGGCATCCTCTCCTCCTAGGGAGGCTGGTGTTTGCCTAGCTTTTAAAGAGAAAAAAGTAACTCAGTCGCTGGGCTGAGGGCGAAATAAGTGCCTGTGTCCCCCGTCTTTCGCCCCCAGGCCGGCAAACCGGCCGCAGGAGGCCCCCGCCCCGCAGCCGGACCGATCTGCCCTTCGCCGGGGCCGGGGTCGCGCAGCCCGGCCCCTGCCCACCCGCAGCTCCCGCCCTGCCGCCGACCTTACCTGGGCGCAGCGGGGAGGGCGCCGGCTCCGTCCGGCGGAGGGAACGGGGGATCGGAGTCGCCGGGACCGTCACCTCGGGGGGGTGGCGAGCCCCGCGCCCGCCCTGCCCGCAGCCCCCGGCCGAGCCTGCGGGGAGGCGTCCGCAATTGGGGATTGGGTAACAGCGGGAGCTGCGGGAGCTTGGGGGGACATGGATACCCCCTGGTGTGTGGGGGGGAAAGCCTCGGGGGGGCTGCTGCCCGCCAGGACCGGGGCTGCCCCGGCGGGGCGAAGTGATGGGAAGGCGGCGGGGGCGGGGGGAGCGCAGCCCGAGCCAGGAACTGCCCCGGCAGGACAGGGGCAAAACGGGGGAGAGGGTCTGGAAGGGGGGAGAACTGCCCCCGCAAACTCTTCCTCCTCCCTCCTCCTGCCTTTGCTTTCTTGTGAATGGGCCGCGGCGCCTTTGTTACGGGGAAAAGTGCCCGTGTCGCTGACTTTTGCGGGAGAGCGGAGGAGCTTGCTAACCTCCTTCGCTCTACTCATCGGCTCCCTCCCGCCCGGCTTAGACGGTTCTCTCCTCGCACAGGAAAAAGATTTGAAAAGAAAGGGAAAAAAACTCCAACAACAAAATAAAATGGGGGGGAAAGTCTTCCCCCCGGGAGACCGCGCTCCGATCGGGGCCGGCGGGCAGCGCCTTTGAACATTAGCTCGCTTTCAGCTCCACTGCAATTAGAGGGAGTTGATTTGGGGAGACCAACAAAAGCCGCGCACCGGAGCCTCTTTAGAGGTCCGGGGCCGCTCCGCCGCCTGCGCGGCCGCCGCGCCCCGACCCCGCCGCCTCGAGCGAAGAGTGGGCCCCGCGGAGCGGCGCGGAGGGCCCGGTGTCACCTCGCCGCTGTCCCCACGGCTCCCGTGCGGCCCCCGCCCGCTCGCCCCCGCGGCGCGTAGCAGCCCCTAAATTCGGGACACGCGAGGAAAGGTGCGGTCGCTGTAGTTTTATTGCGATTTTAAAGCACAAAGTTTGCGAGAGCCCGCGGGCATCGGGATGGGGGGGCCGCGACACCGCCTCCCCTCCCCAGGAGCGCCCTCCGTGTCGGCGAAGGCGGCGGCCGAAACTTTTTCTGCGGTCTCCCGGGGCGGCAGGGACGCGGAGGACGGCGCGGAGCGGCGCGGGGGGCATCCGGAGGGAGGTGGCAGAGCTGCGCGGGCGCGGAGCGGCCCTCCCTCTTCCGCACTTCTCCAGCAATTCCCACCACCCGCCCTCTCTGCGGAGGTTGCGCGGGGCCCTGCGCGCCCGCCCCCTGCGCCCCTCGCTCCGCCGGCCGGCTCTCCGCGGCGCCGGGGTCGGTGCGCGGGGGAGCGCGGAGCGGCGCGGGGCGGTGCGGAGGAGCCTTCGCCCCGCGCTGCCATTGCCCGGGCGGCTGTCAGTCAGGCGGGGAGCGGCCGGGGATTGGCGCCGGGCTGGTTACGCAGTTGCTTTGCGCGCACATACAAGGGTAGGGCCGGGGGTAGGTGATCAATCCTCATCAGGGCCGCGGCTCCATCGCCCCGACAGCGCGGGCCGCCGGCAAGGTAACGCGGGGTACCCCGACAAGTCGGGGGTGCGCGGCTCGGCTTCGGGCAGCGCCCCCCCGGCCCCCCTCCCCAGCCCGCCTCTCACCTGCCTGCCCCCCTTGGCCGCGCAGGTGAGGCGGGCGGGGGCGGTGGGCACCGCGCTCACCGACGGGGCGGGCGGCGGCGCCGGGACGGAGCGTAGCGGGCCCGCGGCGCCGTGGGCAGGGGTGGTGAGCACGGCCGGGCCGGGGCTGCCTCGGGATTTTTTTTCTTCCCTCTCTTCTCTTTTTCACTTTTATTTCCCTCATCTTCCCCGTTCTCTCCTCCCGGGACGGGCCCGTTCCGCCGCGTCCCCGACAAAGTTATGCAACGCCGGGTCCCGGCGCTGCCACCCGACCTGCGCCCGGCCCCGGCCTGCGGGGGGCACCGCGAACCCCGCCGGCATCCGCCGCCCCGCGGGCCGGGTGTCCCCTTGCCCCGGCTGGGGGGAGTCGTGTCAGAGAGCGGGGGCTGCCCCCGGGGCTCGACGGGGCCGCCCGGGGTCTCTCCGCTCCTTCCTCCTCTCCGCGTTTATCTGCGGCATTCTGCCCCCGAGCCCGGGCGCTGCCGGCTCTCTCGTGTCGGGTCCCCCCCGGCCCTGCCGGAGCCCCCCGGGCGGGCCCCGCCGCCGTCCCGTCCCGGCTGCCCGCGCTGTCGCCCGCTCGGCTGCCGGCGCGCTCTTTTTTCCTTTTCCCCTTTTTAACTCTTATCCATTTCTAATTAAAACGTCCCCGTCTGCTCGCTTTTAAATTAATTATACTTCCCTCCTCTGATACCTCCTTTTGATTCCTAATCCAATTATCTTTTTAAATAATTGCTTTATCTCTCCCGATCGCCGGGCACTGTTGCCTCTCGGCACTTGTGCGCGACTCGTCTTCGTTTAAAATAAAATAATAATAAAATTAACAATCGGAAGCCGCCCGCGCGGAGCCCCCGCGCCGGGTGGGCGCAGCCCCGCGGGAGCCCCGGGCAGCGCTCGGGCGGCCGAAGCCTCACCCGCTCCTCTCCGCTCTCTCCCCAGGCGCTCCGGCCTCGCCTCTGCGCGGGGAAGAAATCCGCCTGTCTCTCGATCCTCGTTGTTGTTTCGATTTTTTTTTTTTTCCTTCGTTTTTATTTTTCTCTCACTTCACCTGCTATCTCTCGAGGACCTCGTGGCGGTGACGGCAGGACTCAACGAAAAAAACTCCTTTCACGCCGACTTTGTGCTCCGTTTTCAAATTGTCGTTGGCTTTAATTTTTTTTTTTTTTTTTTTTTTTTTGCCTCTTATTTGGGGATTTTTTCGGGGGCTCTTTTTGTCAGTTTTTTTCCCTTTCATTTCCCCCTTCCCCACCCCATACATTCGATTTGATTTTGATTTTTTTTTTTTTTTTTCTGCCGGACTTTGGAGGAAAACTGCCCGGCTTCTAGCATGATGTCTTACCTCAAACAGCCCCCTTACGGCATGAATGGGCTGGGGCTGACGGGCCCCGCCATGGACCTGCTGCATCCCTCCGTGGGGTATCCGGGTGAGTGCCGCGCACCGCGGCCCCCCCAGTCCCCCACCCTTCAGCCAGCGGAGGGGAAACTTCCATCCGTGCGGGTTTGGAGGAGCTGGTGGGGCCGTACGGCTTAGGGTGGGTGGTGGGCTGGTTGTTTGCCTGCACCCCTGCCTGGGGACATTGGGGTCTAGCTGAATTTCCCCGCAGCTCCCGGGGTGTCTTCGTTTTCCCAGGGATTTTTAAGGATAAAGAACTTTGGAATTGAACAACAACCAAAAAAAGTAATTAATTTCTACACAACGAAATCTCCCCGTAGCTCCCGCTGGAGCCAGGCTCGACCCTTCCCCAGCCCTGTGCCCCTCGCCCTGCCCGCAGCGGGACGGGGTCCGGCAGCCCTGGGTGTGCGGGGACACTGCCGCTCCTTGGGGCGCGCCTCAGGCCCTGTCCCGGGGACACCGGGGCTCTGGGGCGTGCGGGAGGTGCGTGGGGGCCCAGCGTGACCGGCCTGGTGGTGCTCGTCCCGCAGCCACCCCGCGGAAGCAGCGGCGGGAGCGCACCACCTTCACCCGCTCGCAGCTGGACGTGCTGGAGGCGCTCTTTGCCAAGACCCGCTACCCTGACATCTTCATGCGGGAAGAGGTCGCCCTGAAGATCAACCTGCCCGAATCCCGAGTCCAGGTACCGGACCTGCGTGGGGGAATCCTGCACCGCTGTGGGATGGGGGATGCAGGACCACCCCAGCTCAGCTGGCGCTGCTCAGACCGGCTGCTCCATCCACACTCATCCCTCTTTCCTTGGGACAGGGATGCGTGTGGGCTCCCATCTGCTTGTCTGTCCCACTGTGGGGACATTCAGCCAAAGAGGGAGCATTTACCTTTATTTTTTAAATTCTCTTGTATTAATTTTATTTTTATTAATATTTTTCTGTCACCCTTCACCTGCTCCAGTGTATAGCAGCCCTACCACCTGGGTGCTTCCCAGAGGTATTCCCTTTGGGCACTGCTCAATGGATACCCAGGAGGGTGGGATATGCGGGCAGCACCCAACACAGGATCTGTCCTCCAAATCCATATTTTGTCACTGTGCCAGGGATGTGCACGAGCTGGGACACCCCAGCCTTTGACCCTGGCTATCCTTGCTTTTGGCAGGCTGTGGGGTGGCCGGGTAGCCGGGCAGGGGCGGGATTATATCTGGGGGTGTGAGGGGTGCGCAGTGTTAGTGGGTACAGGGAGAACTGGAGCCAGGGTGAGGGTGGTTGGGTGCCCGCAGGCTGAAGAGCCCCTTCTGGGGCTGTCTGGGCCCCTGCTCACCCCACCACGCTCCTTGCTCCCCGTTTTCTCCCGGCAGGTCTGGTTCAAGAACCGCCGGGCCAAGTGCCGGCAGCAGCAGCAGAGCGGCGGCGGGGCCAAGAGCCGTCCGGCCAAGAAGAAATCCTCGCCCGCTCGGGAGAGCTCGGGTTCGGAGAGCAGCGGGCAGTTCACGCCGCCGGCAGCGGCCTCCAGCTCCGCCTCGTCTTCCTCCTCCAGCTCGGCCTCCTCAGCCCCGGTGGGCGCCCCGGCCTCTCTCAGCACCCCGGCGTCTTCCATCTGGAGCCCGGCTTCCATCTCTCCCGGCGCGGCGCCCGCGGGGGTGACGGTGCCCGAGCCGCTGCCGCCCGCCGCCGCCTCCTGCATGCAGCGGGCCGGCCCCGCCGCCTCGGCCGCCTCCGCCTCCTACCCCGTGTCCTACAGCCAGGGAGGGGGGTACGGCCAGGGCTACCCCGCGCCTCCCTCCTCGTCCTACTTCGGGGGCGTGGATTGCAGCTCCTACCTGGCGCCCATGCACTCCCACCACCATCCCCACCAGCTCAGCCCCATGGGGCCCTCCTCGGTGCCGGGCCACCACCACCACCACCCGCTGAGCCAGAGCTCGGGCCACCACCACCATCACCACCACCACCACCACCACCAAGGCTACGGCGGCACAGGGCTGCCCTTCAACTCCTCCGACTGCCTGGACTACAAGGAGCCCGCCGCTGCCGCTGCTGCCTCCTGGAAGCTCAACTTCAACTCCCCCGACTGCCTTGACTACAAGGACCAGGCGTCCTGGCGCTTCCAGGTCTTGTGAGGCACCGGTCACCATCCCCCCAAGCTGCCACTGATCCTCACCCGGGGACTCCCCACCGCCTCCTGGGCAGGACTCTGGGCTCTTCCTCCTCCTCCTCCCTCTTCGTTAGCAGTGGCGATGTCCTGGGGAGGTCCTGCCACCCCCATCTCTACTGACTGATATTTATTTGCTTCCTGCACCACTCCACCAGGTTTATTATAATTATTATTTTTTTAAACGCAACAGAAGAGGAGTTTAAAAAAAAAGAAAAGAAAATTAAAAAGCCAAGCGTGTCCCCTGCTGCCCCCCCGGGCAGAGGCGCAGGCTGGCTCCTGCCCTGCCAGTGCCCCCCCAGCTTGTGCGGGGACCCTCAGCCCCTGCGGGTGTGGAAGCCCCGGCTCGCCACTCCTGTACAGCCTCTTGCCGCGGGGAGCGGCGGGAATGATGTAAATACTCGGTCCGTTCCAGTGACCACGATTATTTTTAGTTGATGCTGTTGGGTTGGCATTTATCTAGAGTCTAACATGAAACAGAACGTTAAAAAAAAAAATCTTTTTTTTAATTTCGATTTTTTTCCCTAAAAAAAAAATGAATATTTCCCGGTCTCATGTCCTCCGTCCATCCTCGAGGGCTCTGCACAAGCTTGGCTGTGCCGTCCTGGGGCTGAGGGTGCGGGGGCCATGGAAGCAGCCACGGGAGGTGTCCAGAAGGGAGGCAAACGGGGAGGGAGGAAAGGCTGCCCAGCTGATCCGCAACCTGCAGACCAAAAAAACCCAAAACTTTTGAAAAAAAAAATAAATAAAAGGAAACAAACAAAAAAAAGCTGCAAAAAAAAAAGTTTTGGTTTATTTTTTGTGGGGAGGGTTGCAGGGATAAGCAGCTCTGGTTTGGGGCTGGGGAGGGGGGGCGCACGGCTTTTCGGAGTGTGTTTTTTGGTTTGGTTTTCGTTTTGGTTGTTTCGAGCCCCTTGTGTCGGTCGGTGCGTTGTGGCGGGCCGGGGCTGCAGCCCCGCGTTCCTGCTTCCCCCGCCTGGGCTGGCGCTTCCCGGCAGCTTTGCCCCGCAGCGGGGACAGGGACAGTGTACGTGTGACTTTTGATGCCGTAACCCCTTCAACTGTAAGGCAACCCCCCTCCTTTCTTCCCGCCCACCCCAATAAAATCTAAACTAATAAATGTAGTGGTGTCGTGTCCTCCTTCCTCCCTCCTGCCTCCTCTTCCTCATAAAACTCCCCTGGGGGGAGTGAGGAGCCGAGAAATATTTCCTGGGGATCCCAGCAGGTGGGGATGTGTGTGATGAGTTTGCGAGAGCTCTGGAGGGGGGATCACCGCCGCTTCTGCAGCTGCGGGCTGGGGACCCGCTCCTACGTTAATTGGCGCTTAATTGGTTACGGATTTATTGGTGCCCCGTGGTGCCGATGGGACTCGCGGGCAAGCGCTGCCCGAAGCTGCGATTTCCCCTCAGGATCGGGGGCGCAGCCGCCAAACTCGGGACCGACGGGCGAGCCTGGGTGGCGGGGTGCGACGGCCACTCGGACCTCTGTCCCTCAGTCCCTCTGTCCCTCAGTGCTGGTTCAGCACCTGCGCTTCCAGCCCCGACTCCCGGCCGTGCCATCCTCAGCCGCTGCCGGCCGCGATCCAGCCGAAGAAGACAGGCAGATTAATTTTTTTCTCGTGACAATCTCCCCCTCTTTTTTTCCCCTCCCAGACCTTCACTTCAGTTGTTGGAAGCTGCCTGTTGGTGCTGGGGCTGCTCCTACTTGCACAGGACAGGGGACGCGCGGACCCGCGAGGCCACTGCTCCCCTGCTTGGGGCATGGATGCGCTGCTCGGGAAGCAACCCCAAATTCCACCCTCCTCCCCACGGTCCTGCAGTCGTGCCCACCGCACCTGGAAGCTCCGGGGCTGTGCCGTGTGTCCCCACCCCTGGTGTCCCCTGGCAGCCTCGGGCAGTGGGACCGCGGTGGGGTGAGAGGTGCCAATGCTCCCCGCTGCTGCTTTGGGGAGGGTTTCACATCCCCCTCCCGCACCACCTGCCCCCGCCTTCCCGCTCCAGCATCCTGGTGGAGAGCGAGGGGGGCTGGCCCTGCGATGCTGCGGCTGCGGCAGGAAAACAGTGGGATCGGCCCCAGGAGCCACCCCCAGCCCCCGTGCCACCTTTCAGGGTTGCGGCCACGGCGGAGCCCCGAGGCCGGGGTGGCCTTCCGCACCCATCGGTGTAACAGGGGGCTCTGGGAGGGGACAAGAGACTGAGTCAATGTTAGGGGATTTTTCTTTAAGTGGTTCTGTTCCTTGTTGCCTCCATTTGTGCATGTATATAGATAAAAGATATGTAAGTATTTTTTAAAAACATATCTATACTTCTACTATAAAATAATTGTTCTCTTCTGCAATCACCAAAGTGTGGCTGTACAGGCAGTTTGAGTGAGGGCCATGTGTGCTGGTGCATCAGTCCATGCATCCCCAAGCCCTTCCTTTTAAAGGGGAAAAAGCCGTCACAGCCCTCCTGGGGCTGGAGGGGGGAACAAAAAATCTGTGCTGGGCACAAAATGAACCAGGCTTGCCCTCCAAAATTTACTGAGCACTTGAGAGATAAGGTCCAGCAGATGTACAACGCACAATCCCCCAGACACACACCTTGTGTCTTTAAACAAAAATGATGCACACTTCATCATTCTTGTAAACTGTGTTCCACTACAACTCAGTAAGTGATGCTGAGAGACACAGCCAAGAGAGGAGCCTGAATTTTGCTTTTGGTGACGTGGTCCTAAACCTCTTCGTCCAGTGCCCCACAGTGGGGCTGGGCCAGGGCTCTGCTCTGGGGTGTTGGACTCCAAGGGATGCTCATGTGCCCCCACCTTCCCCCCTGATTTAGGCACCACGAATACCAGGTGCAACTGATTAGTGATTTATCCAGCAACTCCCACACTGCTGTTTGGGCTTTTTCCTGTCCCACTCACACAGACCTGCAGCATGGTGTTGAAGCTGGCTGCTGAGCACAGGTGGTTTTGGAGGCACAAGAAGAGACCTGGACAGATCACACCAAATCATGGCTGTGCCCTCAATGCTCAGCTCCATTTGTTTCAATTTTTTTTTCCAGTCAGTGCCAGCAGGGTGGGCAAGACTTCCCAGGCGGGTGTTGGTGGGTGAGCATGGGCTGGAAGGGTCATGCCTGGGTTTGGGGGGGTCCCAGCACCCTCCCTATGTTGCAAACTTCTCCCACTGTGGGCTATCTCAAGGCTGGCACAGGCACTGCAGCCGAGCATGAGTCACGGCAGGTAAGGTGGCACGGCGCCTGGTGCCCGGCTCCAGGGGCAGGCACCAGCAGGATTGCCAAGCTTTTTAGGGCAACCCGGTTCTGAGAGAGCTGCCTACTTGGCAGCGCCTCACCTCTCCAGCAAGAAGGCTGCTGGGTGCATGGCTACCATTAGTATTTAATTTTTCTTTTTAATAAAAATCGCAGTTGCTGCTGGAGCCCGGAGCTGCCAGGGCCCCGGGGCCGCGGCCACAGTGCCGAGGGCTGGGTCAGCCCCGCGCAGCTCCTGCCCTTTGCCCGAGGGCCGGCAGCTGCCTCTGCACGGACTGCCCGCTCCAAAGGCACCTGGAGCTTTCCTGCCAGGAACTGAAGGGCCAGGATGTGGGGTGAGCAGGAGGAGGGACAGAGGGGAGAACATTCCCCGGCTTGGGCTGCCCTTAGCTGCTACGCTGGTGCTTCATGGACCTGGAATAATCCATGACCTATTTGCTGTTACCAGAGCATTTGCTCTGGGTTGTGTCCCTGCTTCACTGTTGATTCCCTGCGTGTGGCAGGCATCTGGGACAGGTGGTGATGGGAACACCCTTGGTGAGGTGGGCAGAGGCTGGACAGGGTTGCTGCTGGCTGGGGTGAGCAACTCCTCTTTTGGGTGCTGGACCTGCTTTGGGAACGCAAGCCATTATGGCTGAGCATTACTTAAATTATTAAAGATTTGTAACTAAAAATTCTATTGTAATTTTCAGAAGTTGTGCCCACCAACAGGACTTATTACAGTTATTTTGTAGGCAGCCTTCCTGGCAGGGAGCAGAGAAAACAGGTGATTATAGCTGAATAAGGAACCACTGGTTTGTGGTTTTCCCTGCGCTGACCTCTGTGTTAGCCAGTCGCTGCTAATTCATACACTTTGAGCAGCAATTAATGCAATAAAATCCCATGTTGGTTCCAAACCTGTTTTGATTTTGTCAGTGAAAAGTCTGCAGGTGAACCTCCCAGCTGAGGAAGCTGCTGTACTGGTGAGCTCTCCTTTCATGTCACACTGCCAAGCACAAAATGCTGTGGGGAAGGAGGAGGGTGAAAATGGTCACAGGGCTGAAGCCTAAAGGGAAACATCTGCCTATTTCCCGTAAAACCCCTATTCAACAGTTGTTTGGTTTTTTTTTTTTTTTTTCCTGGATAGACAGGACTTTACCAAGAAAACCATGTGAGGATATTTTTTTATGAAAAACTGCAATTTTAGGAAACAGCATTCTGGACCTTATGTACATTTCTAGTATCACTTCCTGTATATTTTTAAGCTGAAATCCTCTTAGCATGCAAAGTAAATAGATTATGATATACTGAAGGATTAAGAATCACTGTCTGGTGTCAGATTAATCCCTCATATAGACCATCACTTGTACTGACAGAAATATGGCTGCAATTCAGCAAAATAGCTGTATGGCAGGGCCCTGTGCCACAGCCTCTTGGGCAGAACAAGCCCCCTGTCACCGTGGTCCAGCACCGTGTGTTTCCCAGAAATTCCGTTTCAGTCGTGGCACATTTAAGGCACGCTCCTCTACAAGCTCGGCCGTCACCACCTCGGCTCTGTGTGGGGAAACGAGGCAGCAGCTGCTCTGTTTTAAAGCTCTCTGTATTTGTTTTTCCCTGTTGAGTGTACAAAACCCTGCAGGCTGAAAGCCCTTGGCTCCCTTCAAACCTCAAACCAAAGTGTCTCTTTTGAATACACGCGTGCAAAGGTGTAGATTGGGATGAAGCGCCAAAAGGGTGCAACCAAAATCACCCATCAGGCAGCAGAACTTTGACTCATAGGGGAAAATGGACTGTAAATATTTTATTTGGGTAAAAGCAGAAGTTTTGTTAATGAAATACTTCTAATGGCTTGTGGGTTTTGTTTTTTTATTTTTTTACATTGTGCCTTCATTTTCAGTCCATTGTACAGATTTGTTCACCGCATAAAGCCAACTTCAAGAAGCTCGCTGGCTTTGGGTTTCAACCATCCAGTGCTCCCCAAAAAACTCAAGATTAACCCCCACACGTGCCTATGACAGAGCACAAAATATCTGTGTCCGTACTCTGCGCTCCATCAGGTGGCAGGAGGAAGGACCCACGATGATGCTCACCCCTCTCCGCTACCAGAAAAAACCAGAGAGGGCTGGCACAGGTCCCCTTCTCAGTGCATTTTCTCTTTGTGGTTAGAGGAGGCAGATTAAAATCTGGACTCCAATGGAATGATGCTTAAGAGGCTCCGCATCTTTTTTCAAGGCAAAATAATGGTTATTCAACTAAGATGATATATCTAGATATGAAAATTGAGAGCATTCTTTGAAAAATGCTGCTGACTGTGAAAGGCTGCTCTTTCACAGAGGTATCCTGAGTGAAGATCTTATCTGCTGGTATCTCAATAGGACGGTTTTCAGAGCCTTAAGTGGAAATTCAAATCTGCTTCCATGTGAAGATTGTAAAAACATATAATGCATAGAGAATTACAGATTTTCTCCTGAAAAGCTTATGGATTCATCCAAGAAACCCCACCAAATTTTTCAGCATTGAGATTGTACAGTAAATGGGGATCAGCAATTACTCGCTTTTTTGACACCTTTGATGAAAATGTCACCAAGCTGCCCTCCACAAGCAAACACAGGGCACTTTGTGCATGGACATATCAATAGGAACCCAGAAATAATTTGGAGGTCTAAGAACAGGATATTTTCTAAGCCTGGTGTTTTGTCGTCTGCCAGTGGCCAGACCCAGGGCTGGCTGGAAGTTTGCCGAAGGTCTTCCCGTGAACTTCACCACCTTGGTGAGGTTTCCTCTTCTCTGCTTTGGCAGCTCAGTCACACCAGCCCAAAGTGCACAATTTGGAGGGACCCGCTGTCTCCAGTCTCCTGTGGGGGAAAGACAGGCAGGATCAAGCAGGCTGCAGGGAGAGGCACTGGGGAATGGAAACACAGGTATCAAAATACCACCCCAACCCAGGGAGAAGAGACTATTGTAGACACTGTCCACTTTGGCCTGGGGATGAAGGATGTAGCCCCAAAATGGTGAACACTGGCTTATCATTCAAGGTAAGGCATTCCTCATCTGTTTTTAAGCCCCTTCGCACCCCTCTGGCCCTGCTGTTCCTGGGAAAACCAGGGCTGCAGCGCCAGGGACCATGCATGGTGTACCCTGGGATGTGAGGGGCTGGCAGCTGAGGCCCCACCTGCCTCTGAGACCGCTCACCTGGTGCTTGGAAACCTATTGGCAAAAGTGAAACTTTAGGCTTTTGTTACCTTTTAATTAAGCTGGGTTAATGCCCACGTGTGGCCAGCCAGGTTTTAAAGTGGGGATGGCATGTGCATCCCTCACACAATGCAGATGTGCGATTTAAGCACAAATCCCATCCTGCACTCTGGGCCAGTGCAGGGTGGAAGCCTGAGCCCTCTGGTCTTTCAAAGGACATGGAGATGGGGAGAATGTGTGCCACCAGCAGAGGTTATTTCATAACCAGGCTAGGGCTAGCGTGCCTGCGAAATGCATGAAATGCTTTGCCTTGGAAAGCGATGTAGCCTAGTGAGTCATTGCTTTCTTTTGAATTACAGATGAGTAGCCAGCCCTTCATGATGCAAAGAAAAAAACTAGGTGTGGAGCTGGAAACAAAGGGAAACGTGTGTTCGGCCTGTCTCAGAGGGCAAAACACATTGGCTGGCGTGGGAAGAGGGGATGGGCTTGGCCCCAGGAGGTGGCTGTCAGGGCTGTGGGAGTACTGGTGAAGGTGCACAGGACTCATGTGAGTGACTCCCTGGCTCCCTGACTTCAGGAAAGATTAAAAAAAAAAAAAATCTCCTAACTCTTGAAGCTTCACAAAGAACCTTTGCCAGAGCAGCAGCTCCATCTCATGGCATGTGCACTTCACCACAGAGATAGAGATCTCCCTCCAAAACAGCATTCCCTCCATGACTTCCCTATCTCAGTATGGAGGGAGCAGTAAAAGTGCAATGGCTCCAAACAAGCTCTGTATGGACATTGAGCTTCCAGCCCGTGGCTTGGCTCTTCCCTTCAGGGAGATGGTGAGAGGTGGCCCTGACATAATACAACCCCTTGAAAACTCTCAGAGGTGTTTTGAAGATGATTTGAAAGTGTCCCTGATGTCCCAGCTGAACCAGTGCTTGCATCTCAGATCCCATCAGGTTATTCCAGTGTGGAAACGTGAAGCACAGCTTCACCACTGAGACTTCTGCTCAGTAAGGCACCTCTCACTTCAGGGAGGTTATGAGGTGCCTTCCTTGGTAGCAGCCCTCATGGTGGGGCTGTGTGTATGTGCCTTGGGTTTTGGGTGGCTTCAAGCTTTCTGTGGGCTCTCCTTGCTCTCTGAATGACACCTGCTGTAGGCTTCAAAAATATGACTTTTTTTTTTTTTTTTTTTTTTTTTTGTAAAGCCCTGAAGAACATCAGTGGCTGAAGGTAAGGAAGGGGTGGCTCTTTTGTCCCAAGAACTATGTCAGGGCCTTATGCAGAGGTGTTTCTGTGGGTGGTTGCTCTAGGGATGAAGAGAGTAGGTGGGCAGGTGAATGCAGGCTGGAAAAAGACCCCACAGCATGTTTGCCCATGCAAGAGTTCAAGGCTGTTTTGGGAGGTCCCTGTTGCTCAAGGTGTAAGGTCCAGAGTGCAGCAGGTGGGTATCTGACCTGGGTTTGTCATTTGTGATTTGTGCCCCTGTCTGGGGAGATGTGAACAAGAATCCAGCCCTGCAGACCTACCTACTTGCTTTTTAAAAAAATACTTTTGAAAAAATCCTATTTGCAAACCTCTCTCTAAAGCAGACCTGGCGGTGTCGCATGGGAAGCCTGTGATGTGGCATGAAGTTTGCAGAGGTATTTAATGTTAATCAAAGGCTGAAGAGTGGTGATGACTGGAATCCTCCTCTGATATCTGCATCTTTTCTGCTGTAGCACCCTGGCAATAAAAGGTGCTGTAATAATTTGATGAGAGTTGGTTTTCATTGTGCAGGAAGAGGGCTGTCCAGGAACAGGGGCAGCCAGCACTGCAGTGCTGCTCCCTATGGTAATGAGCTGCTGGTCCTCCAGAGAAGGAAAACATGAATATCCTGACAGGAGAGCATCTACTTGTGCCCTGGAGAGTTCAGATCGTGGGGCTTTTCATGGTAATGATGTGGTCCCGCTCCGGCAGCCGAAGGGAGGAGCGGTATGGGAAGGCACACCCTGTAATTGAAGAGCCACTCAGTCAACTCGGACCTGCAGGGATGGCAGGATGGAGGCAGTGGTTTGCTCTGTCTCCACAGGTCTGAGGCAGAACAGAAGATCCTTCTACTCTCCTGGAGTGGGAAATACAGAGAAACCTCTTCCCCTTGCTGCCATATGGCTCCCAGGAGGCTACGTTTTTTCTCCTGGGATTATTCTCAAGGGCATGATGAAGGTGGGAAAGGACAAGAGTGGGAGAGAGTAGAATAAATGAAAGAGCCCTGGGGAAATTATTTTAAGCACCTGTTTTATTCAGATGAAGACTGCCTGGTACCAGGAAGGACTAGGTGGAAGGACATGCCTGTTGCTAGGTTCCATAGGTACCACTCCTTTGTACTGGGAATGCCTTGTTTCCCTTGAATAGCACAATACAAAACAATTCTGGCTGAGAGATAATCCACTGAGTGATAATATATTAAAATTATCACCTGGTAGCCATAAGGAGCCATTGGCTCAGCATCTTAAATTGCCTGGTAGAAGATCAGTCTCTGAGATTAACATTTTCCAAAGGGTCTTGTTTGTACCAAGGTGTTTGCAGCCTTGGTTTCACTGATCCAACTCCCTGTGCTGCTACGTGGAAACTCTGAACTAATCTACACTGTTGCTCAAGATTATCAAATCCCAGAATAACACAGAGCAGGAGGGACCTCTGGGGCCACCCTGCTCAGAGCAGCAAGGCTGGACTGGGTCTCAAGCAGCATGGTCCTCCAGGATCTCACCTCCAGGATGGAACACGAGGACCAAATCCTGGCCACTCCAAATATTGAGGATGGGATGCTCGCTTCTTATCTGCTTCAGCCCTGAGGAGTCATACCCAGAGAGGCCATGCACAGGGCAAGGAAAGCTGCAGGTTATCCTCTTTCCTCCACCATCTGTCTTCATCCCCACCGCTGTGCTCAGTGGTGGGATCCTCTGGCCAGCCCAAAACCAGTGGCAAAGCCACCTGTAATTCTGCATTTGTCCTACTGCCAGCTGAGAAGACCGCAGCAGCCCTTACCCACCATCACCCTCACACCACTGGGCTGCAGGCAGGACACAGGTGACCTGTGCTGGTGCTGGAGGGACACAGGTGACCCCCATGGTAGCACAGTCTTGCCTCTGAACCACTGCTAACGCTCCCCTCCAGAAAACAAATCTTGTTCAACAGCTTGAGCGCTGCTTGGCTGTGTGACAGCCAGCTGCTCTGGCAGGTCACTGGGAACAGTTTGTTGCACGATCTCCACAGTTTCAGGGAGGAGAAGCTTCCTCATAGCTGAGAGCAGCAGCGAGTGAGGAGTTCATGTGCTGTGATGCACCTACAGAGGACAGACCCGTGTCAGGTTCATCCCTGCCGAGGCCTCAGTGGCCATTTGTCCTGGGAATAGTCACCCCTGGCTCCAGCCTTTCCCCAACAAACTGGCAAAGGAGGGCAAAGCAAATCCTGCAGCTCAGAGCTGCAGGGATCTTGCTGCAGAATTGCCTGTGCAAGAAGGGCCGGGTTTTGGGTGTGCTCCCCTTGGGTGGCACCAAGCCCAGTATTGTGCGAGCTGCCGCTGAAGCAACACACGGGAAGTGCCGTCAGGGGGACGCCAGCCCGGGGACGCAGCCGGGTGAAAGGGGCACCTCAGGATCGGGTTGTCCATCGTGCAGCAGGCTGGTGGTGGTGTCCAGGGGAGGAGCTGCCGATGGTGGGTTTGGGATGGATTTGGGATATGTTGAAAGCCACAGGTCGGTCCAGCTAGAAGGATCTGGTTTGATTTGCTGGGTGCTGGTTCCTGTGCTGGTGCCCAGCTGCTGCAAGACTTCTGAATTTCCACATGCCTTTAAAAGTCAGGAACAAAATGTTGATAGAAAATGTTTTCTTTACGGAAAGGTAACTTTATGGAAGCATAAAGTTAGTGTTACATGGATGGCTGTTCTTCTCCAAAAACCGTGGTGTGCACTAGAGGCTCCCCTTACCCTGCCAGCCATCTTCCTCTGCAGCCCATAGCTGCTGCCTCCCTTCCCTGGGTCCACAGCAGCTCAGATGGAAGTGCCCCATTTTCCTGTGCACAAGCAGCTCTGTGATGTGTGCTGAAATCAAAACACCTACTCCCAGGTCACAGAGGTCACACTTTGACCCACCAGCTTTTAGCAACAGTGACCACTGAGTTGCAGTGACTTTCTGGAACCAAAGAATGCTTTAACCACTCCCTTGGGTAGGTCCTTAATGATATGATGGCAAAGCTTTCTTCTGTGCATCATTCTCCTTATACAGCCTGAATGTTTGGGCTTGTGGATTTCACTGTTATAGTCCAGAGATTTCAAATGAACTTCTCAGTTTATGAATTCAACTGCTTATGTGAAGGCAAGGACATCTTCCACAGAGCTCGGGGAAGGAACAGTTAACTGCTGGCTAACCCAGCTGCAAAGCCAGGGATCCCTCCAATGTCTGCAGACCATCACTGCTGCTGTGCTTTACTTCACTCTGTGGCCTGAGGCCAGCAAAATCATCCAAAGGCCAATGGAGAGGTCCTGTGAGATGAGGATTTCCCTCTGGTGTGACCCTGACGTGGTGAACTCTGGCACCTGGTCCCCAGCCTGTGCCCATCCTCCACCCAGTGCAAATGCACAGGGGCCTGCAGGAAGCTGCAGAGGTGGGGCTGCTGTGTGTTCTTCCTCAGTGCTTCAGGACTGGTAGAACAGCTCTTAGAGCACAATTTTACTTGGCACAGGCTGGTTTTGTAATGAAAGAAATAAATAAGTGCCATCCTGCTCTGCTGGAAGGTTGAAGTGTTTCCTTTCTTTCTTTTTTTTTTCAAAGATCTGTTTGCAAACTGAATACTTTGGCCTCAAAAATAAAATTTTAAACAGGAATTGTAATTGGGAGAAGGCAAACACAGACAGTCTTGTGCCTTCATTGGTGCTGCTATGAATTATTTTATGATTTGCTATATTTTCTTTTAGTTTGAACTTTAGTGCAGAACTGAGGAAGCGCGTTTGTGCTGCGTGCTGCTGACTCACCAGCTCTGGAGAGAGGCTCGCCCTGTATCTGTGCTCTCTGTGCACCACCACTGACTCCCAACCACCTGGGATCACAAATCAGGCCAAGAGGGAATGTCCCCATGGCAGATGAAGGACATGGGGGGCAGGGTAGGGTTTTCCTGCCCACACGGAAGTCTTCTCCTCCTCTCTCCTGCAGTGAGTTTCCTGCAGGCTGGGAGCCTGTGAGCCGGCAGAGGAACAAGGCTTGGAGGCTGGCAGTGTGGGAAGGGATGGACCACCTCTCCTGGCAGCACCCACAGTTAAATCAGCTCAGAGTTATAATGAAACCATAGGGAAGCATCTCACCCCTTTTCCCTGCAGTCTTCCTCTTGGAAGTGCCAACCCAAGAGCTGGTTAGCTTGTGTGAGATAAACGTGGCTGGAGGATGAGAGCTTTACGTGCTGTGCTCAACACAAAGCAGCAGGTGAAGCCCTACTCTAGCAGAACCATACAGGAGCATTTCTACCAATTCCAGCAAGAGCCCTGCAGGCAGACAGCTTGCATGGACAGGCTTGGGGAGTTTCAGGAAGCTTCAAAATAGAGTAAATAATAATAAGCAGAAATAAAATAATAAATCAGAAATGCGTTACCTGCTCCGAAGGAATGGCTTTCATATTTCCTTCAAAAAAACAAAACAAACAAAACACTCACCATGTTATTTACATTCCATTTAACTCACTGAAAAACCCAAACAAACAGAGGTATTACTTTCACTTTTTTCATAAAAAAAGCTATTTTATATCATGTTTTTCAACGGATGAATTAAAATACTTAATATATTGCTTATACAAGTCTATACACGTAGGATATGTATATTCCCTCAAACACCAAAACAAGTTAAAGCAACCATGATTTTTGTGGATGAGGCAGTGTGGAGATGCAAGGCCAGCAGCAGATCAGGGATCCCAGGTAGTCCTGAGCTGTTGCAGGACTGGGATGGGCAGTCTGGGACAGTTGTGGCTGCAGCACGCCTCTCTCCCTGCAGTGGGGTAGCCCTGGGGTGGAGGGGCTGCCTGCCTGAGTGCTTGTCTGCTGTCTTGGGAGGGCTGTGTGCTGCCAGGTTGCTGCAGGAGCTGCTTCAGGATGAGGTTTCATGTTACAGCTTGAGCTGAATTAACAGCTGCCAACATCAAAAAGAAGTCCTTCTGCAGGCAGTGTCCTTCTGCCCCTTGCTTGGTGCTGTCTGTGGTGTCTTCTAATCCCCACACAGGGCAGGTTGGTTCATGGGATGGACAAAAGCCCATGGGAGAGAAAACTAACAGCTTTTTTGGGTTGGGTTAATGTGCTGCCAGCTCCCTGCATGGTCCCAAGAACGTGAGTGGAAGAAGGTGGTGAGGGGGCAGCAGGACTGACCCGTTGTGGCAGTGGCAAGTTCAGCTTTACTGCAAGGTGGAAGTGCATCCCTAAGTGCCTTGTTTGAAGCAATCCCTTTCAGCTGTGGCTGTAGGAACCATCTGGCCTCCCTGTGCCTGGACACTGGCTCCATTCCTACCTACCCGTCTGTACAGCAACGGGACACCCGGACAGGGCAGGGGATAAAAATCCTCGTCTCGCCCCTTGTGCAAACACTCTGACCTATCCCTGCCTGACTTCCTTCACGGGACAGCTCTTTAACCATGACCTTCTCGTGCTGGGCTGCTCCTCTGCTGGATTGCTGCTCTCCCTGGGCTCTGCTGTGATGGGAATGCCAAGTGCTGCCGAAGCAAGGCTGCCCTCGCTTCCCCCAGAGCGCCGCAGGAACCGCGTGCGCTGCTGCTGCCCAAGCCATGGGAGCGGGGAGGCTCTGCTGCTGCTGGCTCCTGCACAGAGTAACAGAGCCACAACAGCTGGGAGTAACAAACCCTGCCTGTTTGTGTTAAATCAGGGATACTGCTGCAAGATAAGGAGATCCAGGTGATTGGTTGACTTATTCTACTTTCCATGAGCCAGCAGCTGAATCCTCCTGCCTTTCCCTGCTAGGAATATACACACCGAGCTCATGCTGCAATGCCTTGTTTTTTTTCCTGGACCTAAATGAATATTCAAGATATGAATTATCAATACTTCTAGCTTCATCCCCCTGTGCATATTTGAAAGAGACTTGTTCACTTACCTTCCTGGCTGTTGGAAAAGGTTTTCTTGATCAGGGAGGTGCTGTGGCTACCCGCTCCATGCTCAGTGTCCTCTGCTTGTCTGCGGCTGGTGGGTCTTGGAAAACAAAACAGAAGTGATAGAAGGGGAGGGAGCCATGCCTGCAGAGTTGGGAAGCCACTGCAGAGCAGAGTAAAGCTGTTCTGTTTGTTTTCTATCTTTTCAAGTATACAGCAGCCTGTGTAATTTCCTGGCCACAAACTGCAGCTCTTTTCCATCAGATGCCAGTAGATTTGTTGACTGAGTGTCACTAGGATAGCTCATTTGGCCGTGCAGTCGCTCCAGCACTGTCCTGTCATTCAAAGACGAGGTATAAAGCTGGTGGTGTTTTGAGTAATTACAGTTTTGTTAAGCAGGACAGGCTGGGGACATGTAACACACATAGCAGGCACCAGGCACTGCTGGCAGCCCTGCACGGAGGAAGTTGGGCAGATGCCAGGAGAGGAAGATATCAGACTCAAAATACAGCACTGAATTTCTGAAATTTTTGTTGTTCCCTACACCACTTTCATCACTGAAATACAAGTTGTGAAGGAGGTGCAGGCAGGAAAGCATCAACTATGTGTTATGGAAAATGCAGATTAATTTGTTGGTGGGTTTTTTGGTTTTTTTTTTTGTTTTTTTTTGTTTTGTTTTGTTTTGTTTTGTTTTGCTAGTCTTGGTTTCTTCAGCCATCATTAATCTCTGCTTACACAGCCATGTGGAAAGGCAATCCATTCCCAGTGCAGTGGAACTGGAAACCTGGAGGCCACATTGTGCCATCTTGGCTTGCTGATTCGCTGCTCGTCCTGCCATCCACAACCTGCCAAGCGCCCGGTGAAGTCCAAGGGAGCATTGCTTTCTTCAAGAACGAGTCAAGTAGAGAAAATAAATTAAATATCCAATGCCAGGCCAGCTAGGAGCTCTTTTGGGAGGATACTCATCGTCTGGGTAGCTTTTCCTCCTCAGTGGATGTAGTCACGTTTGACTCAAGTAGTGTTTTACTCAAGGGTGGCTTTCAGCTACGACAGCAGTGTAGCTGTGAGAATAAAAATGTGAACGCTTTTGTGCAGCAACCAATTTCCTCACTGCCACAGTGCAAAATCTCATTTAGCTTTGATAATACAAATAATACATTCCAGGCATAAAGAGCCCTTTATTACTGATGAGAACATAAATAATTAAAGGAAAAGCTGAGATTTCCCCCATGCTTTTGTCTTCCCACTACCAGCCAGAAGACAGCCATGCAAGCAGCTGGGCACATGTAAAGCAACTAAAAGCACCTCTCCTCATCAGCTTTCTCGAGACATTTTTAAGCTGCAGTAATGCAACTCTCCCATCACACTAAGCTTTATTGGTTCAGTGTAAGAAACTAAGAAACTTCACTGGAGACCAGATTATGCTGGTTGCAAAAGCGGGGGGATTCTTCTGCTCTTCGACCCCATTATCTCCTCTGTAGTGTCTTGATCAGCTTTCTTACACACAGCCTTGGATTCTGCTGAGACCCGCAAATTGCTTTTTTGGCTGCCAAATTGCCATAACCCTTCTATTTTTATATTTTAAAAGAGCTTAAACCCCTCCATCCTCTTTGGATGTGTCTTTAAAATTGACCAGTACTGGGAGGATTTCATGTATATCCAAAGGCTTAGAAGAAGATGTTACCTCTACTGAGCTTCTAGTTTTACAGTCAACAGACATGAAAAGCCCAGCGGGGATAAAAGGAACTTAACCAGTTCAGTCTAATGCATATAAATCTACCTAAGAGCTCAAGGCACTGGAAGTACTCAATGCACTACATTTATCTGAGTCTAAGATACAGAAATGGGTCTTCAGCCCACATGCCACATGTCCCATTTTGATGCCAAGTTAATATGAATTAAGAGACTGAGATGAATAAACAAGGTCAGTCTGGGCTGGGCCAAGTTGAATCAATGTAAAATAATTGTCAGTATTTTCTGTCAGCAAGGCTGGTTTATCTTGGCTCAGGATTCTCAGTGCTATAGATTATAAAATGTTTTCAGTGGAACAGTTGGCAGACATTTTATTGATTTTTCTTTGTTTTGTGAATGCTGGAAAAATTTCCATTAAGTATACATGCCATTCATGTGATGAAGCCAAATTGCTTTTTCAAACTTTTCTTTCTTCAAGTGTGCTAATGCGTTAATACATTAGCAATCTAATTTAATCAAGAGGACCTTTGTCTGGAATCAAGAGGCCATGGAGCACACCTTGATGCATCTTGAGCACTTATGGGCTAAGAAGAGTTAATTTTGTATTTTTCAAGGTGCAGTGTGCACACTGACTGATTAATTTGCACCTCTGAATTTGGTAATGTATTATCTCAGTTTTACAGATGTAGAAATTGAGAGTGCAACTTTGCACAAAGCCATCTATATCTGCCTGCTGTTGCATTCTTGAGGCACGTGAAGCTCCTGGGCTGAGCAGTGGCAAAGAATGAGAAGGAAGAGAAGAAAGAGAAGGAAAGAGAGGGAAGGCTGCAGCAGACAGGCAGGAACAGCACTGGATCCAGCTGAGCTGCTGGATCCCACTTCTGACATGAATTTCCTCCACCACATCACCACATCCCTGCATCACACCTATTAACAGAGTTAATTTGGAACTGAAAACTGCTCAGGCAGACAGAGCAGCTGGTAGGATTATACCTGAACTTGGCAGACGTTATCCCTCAACCTATATTCCTGCTATTTTGTGACTGGGTTTGCTTCCTGGTTAAAGAGGACTTTTGAAACAGGTGGAAGCCATAACAGTGATGAATGCTTGCTTTATTTGCACAGAACAGTCAGGTAGGAGTAAGAAATCCATTTAATGTTGTTTTTTATGTGACACACAAAAGGGGATGCTGTGGGATAACTCTAATTCCCTCCCTCTATGCTGATTTAATAACCAACATACAGAAATGAAAGATGCTGTTAGAACTTCCTAAGGTTTGGTCAGTGATGCTACAGATTCAAAATATACAGACATGCTCATGAGATTAAATAAAAAATTTTAGAGAAGTAGGAATGAGTGTATTTTTAAGGACATAATCAACAAGAAAGTTTCATGGTAAAAATCACTGTGATGATAAACACTTTTGCCTTCTATCCTAATCACTTGTATTAAAATAATAGATAGCCTAATTAAAATGGGAGTAGTTCTGGTTTGGGGGATGGGGACTAGGTAGATGGATAATGAGCTAAAAACCCCTCCAACCCAGCTTCACACACTGCCAACAAGTGGAAGATACTTAAGCCCACAACACATTATGGTAAGGAAAGAGAATGACACACTGATGGGGAGGAAACCCACACTGCAGCTACCAAGGCCAGTGGCAGAGGAGTGAGTGCAGTCACAGCTCAGTGTGACTCTGGTGCCAGACTCTGATATGGTCACAGGCACTCTCTAGTTGACTCATCCAGAAATGAGCTGTCTCACAGGCTGTTGATCAGCTCCTTTGTGTGGCTGAGAGGATCAGCATGCTACCTCAGTCCTCTGAATAACAGCATCCAGAATATCCTCCTCAAGTGCAAGCTTCTGCTGCAGGGTAATGCTGATCAAAATGTTTTCATAAACAGATAACAAAGTAATGGGAGGACAGGAACTTCCAGGCTAAAACATAGCTGACACTTGGAAGGAGAGAGGGCAATGGTCAATGCCAAATGTAAGCCAGAGGTGAGATCTTTATCTTATAAAATTATTCACTGAACTGTGCATTGTTGGTGGTGTTTAACTGTCCTTTTTATGTTAGAGTGAAAGAAATCAGGCAGAAAATGAATTGTTGCTTTCTGGAATGTTGTCCTGAAATCTTTACTGCCCATAACTTTTTGTGTGTGTATATGTCTCAGAAAGCTGACTACAGCTCTCCACTGGCAGCAACACCACTGCTGTTTCCACAAAACATCATGGAGTTAAATCAAGAATAAGTTCTTAAAGAAATAAACCCTTGAGATTGTTCTATGAATTATTGTTTTATTTCCAGCCTCTTCTGTCCATTTTCTGTCCCTGTCTCCATCCCAGATTATGGCTTTCCTGGTTAAGCAAAGGAGAGGATGATGTGAAGAGTTAGTTAAAGTGATTTTTTAATCACACAGCCTGGAAACTGGGCTCCAGTTACACATATGCAGATGTCGAACTCCCTGAAGGGCACCAGAAACAAGGTTTATTAGGCACGTGAAACATAAGTGTCTTCTGTTAGTCTTCACAGGGCCCTTGCTCGTGACTTCTGCCTAGATGTAACTCGTGAGATATGCCTCAGCTGTCCCAAGAGCTGAAATACAAGGGAGAAAGAAATATGTGCTGGAGATGAGCTTCCACAAAGTTGAGTGAAATGCGGATTTGGGACAGCATCTGGGACTGATAGGGGTAGTTGTGTTAAAAATGCAGTAATGTAGTAATGGTGTGACTAGCTGGTACAAAGATGTAAAGCCAAGACAAATAACAAGAGACTCTGAAAGAAGAAAGAACAGCCATTGGACACTCTTGCTGAACAACTGCAAAGTCCTGGTGTGGTCTCTTACAGGAACTTAAAGAACCACTGCTACCCAGAAGAAGCCAATTACAAACCCAGAAGTCTCTGGTAATGCTGGAGTATCTGGGACAGAGAGATGAAACACTGCAACGACCGCAGAACAGAGAACAGCCCTATTAATGTAGGGTCCCAGCACTAAAACTTCCTTTCGTTATAGATATTTCTTCACATGAAGAAGTCTGATTCAGACTTGGCAGCAGATGCATTGTAGGAGCAACTCATGGAAACTGGAGGCAAACCAAGCCACAGTTGGGTGCTTGTAACCACCCATGGCTTTCTTTAAGCACAGGGAAGAAGTTGTTGGAGTCACCTGTGCCTCAGCAGGTGACCTTCCCACCTGGCTGGTGTTGTCACAGGGAGTGCCTTTGAAACCTAAATTCTTGTTGGCAGGCTTCGAGCAGCTGTGGCCAGCCAGGAGAGCCGTGAGAAGTTTTCTTCCATAGCATTGTAAGCGGCCACCAAAATCTCCGGCCTCTCCCGGCAGAGGTCAGCGGCATCTCCAGGTGTCCGCAGGTGGAGGAGCTGGTGCATGGGTGGGAGCTTGCTTTATGCTCCCCAACCAAAAGCCTTGGGAAATCCCAGCTGTTTATGCAGCTCTGGCGACTGCAAGGAGCCACTCCTGAGGCTCAGCAACTTATGGTGACCCAGCTGGGTAGGAGCAGGCAAATGTGGTCAGGCGGGGAGCCCAGGAGTCGGGCAAAGCTGAGCTCGCAGCCTCTCCCGAGACACCTGACGAAGGCAGACGTGGGACTGCCAGAGCTGTGTGAGTCACAGCAACCTCCAAAAGGAAAAAGGGGAGCGAAAGGGAGGGAGGACAGCGTGTTTATACCTCGGGATCAGAGGCGTGTTGGGATCAGTCTCAGCTCTGGTGCGCTGCTAAAGGAGCTCCTTTTATTGGAGCACTTGGAGCCCTCTGGAGACAATGCAGCCTCCAGCATGGAGACTGTCTTTATAATTTGCCCATATCAGTACAGTGATATCTTCATCCTAAAAGTTAAGAGGAATAACTCTGCCCTGTATTTTTAAAGCCAGTCCCACCTCCAAACCCATTAGATAGCTCGGAAAGCTTTAGAGCGTGTCCCATGCCCTAAAAGTTGTAGGCAATGTATAAAATAAATACTTCATTCGTGGTGTGCAGCTGGTAAAATGAATATGACACTGCATACTGAAAAAACTCAATGCTCCCATGTGAGAGGAGACAGAAAACTAGTTAACCCAGAGATTTCCAGAAAGAGAAGGAAATAAGAAAAGGAAGAAAGAAGAAAATGAACCATGTGTCCAGCATAGTTATATACAAATGGCTGGGATGAATGTAACGTGGAACTTCAATGTCATACTCACACCAGATTTACTAAAAACATTCCTATAGACAGTAGACATAGAAAATAAAAATAAGTCTATATACTACACATTTATATACTCACTGGGAGCAAATAACTGTTTTTCTATCAAGAATGCACAAAGAAAAATAACAGAAACAAATGGTTTTTGAATCTTTGCAGAAGAGCTGTTTCTTTTCAATTTCCTATCCCTTGCAAGGTGGTGTGCAGGTTCACTAGCAATGAAAGTGCTGGAAAAAAAAATCCCAGTTATCAAAACTGTTGTTTTTCTCATAGCTAAGTTCAAGGTTTTAATCAGCTTCAGAAGAAGAGCACTCTCAAAAGATCTTTCCAGGGATTTTGACTACAGGCTAGTGATCTTCTTACAGAAATCTGTGAAGATCTTGTCAGGTTTCTAAAAGTTCTGTTCACCACCTGCAACCATTAATTTGCTGCATTTTCATTGCTGTATTTCTCTTTTCTCCACATTCAACAAGCAAGGCTGCCTTTGCCCAGATGATTTAATTTGAAAATGGTTGTGCTAGTGTATGTTAAAAGCTTGCAAACTGTCTGTGTATCTGGAGATTTCATTGTGTCTATGCCATGTCCTCTGGGCTTCCAGGTTTTTCTTAGTTTTTAGTGTGTTAATGTTTTATTGTGTTTACAGTCATGATGCAGACTACAGCTGCAGTTGTCAGGAAGGTTCAGAATATCAAACATACATTTAAAAGCCATTCACAGCTCACCTGTGGGAGCAGCTCTGCATTGGTGGTCTGTCGGCAGGGCCGGGAGCAGGCGGGTTGCATCCTCCTCCCTGCTCTGGAGATTGGTCAGGGAAAGCTTCACAAGATGGGTCTTCTTCATCTGACTGCCCCAGAAGTTCTGTTAAGATGGATCAAGATATGGTATCACACTTACTTCATCTGAAAGTACCAACCAAGCTGCCAGCTGTTTGCCTTGGATGCCCATAAGGACAAGGGTGTCCTCTCTTGCAGGGGATCAAACTGAATGGAAACCCACATGCTTCCACAGCTTTCACCCTTGGCTTTTCCCTTGAAAAGGAGGCCAAGTAGCCAAAGAGCAAACCAACCTGTTTCTTGTAGCACCAAGAAACAAGTCCAAGAGTTTTTGAAAGACAGAGACAGGGTGTGTATTGTCTGTAGATAGCAAGGAGGAAATGCATTCTCTAAATTGTCAACTACAGAAGGTCCAGCTGGCTGCCAAAGGCTGCTGCATGAGCCATAGGGATCAAAGTCTTATCAATTGGACTAGTTCCCCAGAGGAGTATGTGTAACTCCTTCCTTTAAAAATAAAGACTTCCCTTGGCTTTGTTTTAAAATATTTTGGTTCACAATTAAAGCCTGAAGTCTTCAGTAGGTGAAGCATGAGCACCCAATTCACAAGTTCCAGTCTGAGCCCTGTGGTAAAAGAAATTCTTTAAAAATATATGAACCACTTAAAAAATACAGAGGAGGAATTGCATATTCTAGGCGTGAGACATAAAATAAATAAATAAAAAATTTAATCAAACCTCAGGCTAGCAGAGTTTGGATTAAGGAAAAAAATCCTGTTACAGATAAAGACTTTAAAAGATTTTTCTCAAAATCATAAGACCCTTTTGCATTTTTTCCTCCTCTAATCCTGTTCTTCTCCCCTTGTTCTCTGCCTTCTTGGATCCTGGATAAGCTGATCAGCAGCATACCCATGGTGGCACTGTGGGCAGTGGGGAGGATGTAACAGCCTGGCCAGTGTTGCCACGCTGTTGGTTTACATTTCGTCTGGAGACCCAGAATGCTCACTGGCTTAGGAGGGCAAATCTCCTCGTAAGCCCTTCTGAACCTCTGAGTCTTAAACATCCAATGCTGTGGGACTGCTGTGGACTATTCCTACTCTTCATGCCACCTAAATACTACTGGCATCTGTGGTGTGAGGGAGGGTGAAGTGTGGCAAGATTTGGCTTTCCCAGGTAGCTGATGTTGTCTGTCTGTGCTGCTGGTTCCCACATTTTCAACCATTTCCCAGTGTGGGGAATGGTTGAAAATGGCCAACTCAGTTGAAGGCAGCACACCTCAAGCATGCACACCACACTACAATAAATAAAGGTGCTAAACCAGCACTACTGCAACTTCTCCTCCATCTTGAAAAAAAGAATCCAAAGAGAAATAAAAGCAGAGGAAAGAACAAGTGTACTGGCAATGCTTTAATCTCAGAAACTCAAATCCAGGGCAAGTAAGGGAGGTTTCTCTGGAGATGTCTTCTTGGAGCCTTGCAGAACGAGAAACCAAAACAATGAGAAGTACAGTATTGAGAACTCATAAATGTTTGTGAGAAGCTACTTTTCACAGACATGAAGAGCTCTGGGAAAGGGCTTAAACAAAATTGCTGTTGATGGGGAAAAATAATTAGGCAAAATCCACTGCAGGTCTTGTGGCACAAACTTTGACAGCCTCTGCTTTGGAGCACAGCTCTCACTGCTGTGCTCCCACCTGGAATGGAGTCCTTGGTACTGAAAATCCTCCCTCTTCACTTGGCCAGAGTTGGTTAAGAAGCAGAATGTTAAACCTTTGAATTTGCAAAATGTCAAAGCTCAGATGTACAGTGTGAGTCGAGCATCTGTAATTAATTTTTCTTTTCTCTTTTTGTCTTTTTCCACTTAGTAACAACTAAGGCCTACATAATCTACCCCCTTAAAACTACAAACTTTCACCAGTATATGCTGCCCATGACTTCCCTTGAACCCACCCCACTCCTGGGGTGGGGACATTTCAGAACATAAAACCCTGAGAGATGCTGAAAGAGGAGTGTGTATTGAGAAAAGAAACTTATCAGAATTGGGTCAACTTCTTCTTGATCTCTTTCCATCACACTACTGATCTGTGTTTTCTTGTCTCTGCTGAGAACCAGTGCTGAATAAATCCCAGTTCTCACACCAATCACTTCAGTGTAATTCATGCATGTGCTCCAGGTGGTACCCAGCAGCTTTTTAACATGGAGTGGCTACAATTTGGACGTATAGAGTCCTTGGGTGCCGTATTTCCCATATATGAACGCTATGAGCAATTAATTACAGCATGGCCAGTGACTGATACTTTGTGCTGTGGATGTAACACAGCTACACCTTGTTGAATAATGCTACTGGATCCACAGAAACCTCATGGAAAACAGAGCAGTCTGTCATCTGCAAGCACAAAACCAGGGGAAGAGCAGGGTTCTTACCCACAGGAGTGCAAATAGATTTCTCGGCACTTTCGTATCTAAAATAAATATCTGATATGTTAAAACAGCTATGAGCATTGAACCTATTGTGGTCTGGAGATTCAGCTGCAGTGTGGATGCCAGGAGTGGTTCAAAGCCACAAAACCATCAGATATGAGCTATAGAGTAAAGAAATAAATATTTTTGTTGTGGGACATGGACTCTGTTCCCTGTGAGAAGTGCTAAAGCAGGAAAAACAAATGAGCAAGGAACACTGTTTAAACAACACAGCCCTTCCCAAACTAGAGGCAACATATCCCACTTTTAATTAGAAAGGGAAGGGAAGGGAAGGATTTTGGCAACAATGCTACAGACCTGGGAGAGGGTGGTGGTCCTCACATCTAGATGAGGGCTCTGGCTAGGATTTGGTGCTTGATAGAGACCTGACTATGCTAGCACTGGAGAGATCATAAGTTTCACCTAAGATTTTGTATTCAGGCAATTCTGAGATATTCCTTTGCCTTCTTGCACAATAAACTCTGGCTGTTTCAATTCTAAACTACTATTTGCTTAACATGTTACGATCTGGGGATTTCAATCTGATTTTGAATTTCAAAAATTTGAGAATTGGTATTGTGCTAATGTTGTGGTTTCACCATTAAAGTAATTTACCATATGCAAGAATATGAATCTTTTGTGCTAAAATCTTTTTAGCAAATCCCATTTGTCATGATCAATATTGGAATAGCATTGTGTACACCCAACCATACAATGACCCAATGCATATTCTACATTTCCAAAATTAAGTGGTAATTGCTATTGCTACCTCTCACATGTGTCTGAAAGAGCCAAATATCTTTCTTTACAAGTCCACTGAAAGTTCTCCTATGCTTTAATGAGCAGAATGCTCTCTGGGTAATGCATGCAGGTGATGAGATATCACGCCTTGCCTGCCCACACATCTGTCATTATTTAAACATATCTATTCTCTTTTGAATCTGTGTCTGCAAATCGGAAGCTGTTTCTATTCTTCAGGATCCTGCACTGGACTTTCAGGGATAAAAACTCATTTCAAAATGTGCAAATCTGTGGTAAAACGAAAATCTCCTTTTAATATTGTTTGCAAAATTGACAGCTCTACTTAACAGCAGCCATTAAATTATTTACAAAGTAGCAGCTGCTCTTGTAGCAGCCTTTTTTGGGCGTGAAAAATAAACTAGTTGATAAGTGAGAGATAAGCCATTTGACTTCCTCTTTGTGTGCCTGGCATGGTGTGCAGAGCCAATTCTGTACAATCTGATGTTTACAGAGCAATCCTCGTGTACGACCTCCTTAGGCAACCGGGACACAAGAAGCCTTTAAAACGCTGAAGCAAGCATTTAATCAGAACTCTTCATGCTGATCTCTGAAAAATTCAATAAGTTCAAAAAAATGTAACTCTTTCTAAAGATAAAATATCACTTTTTTGCTTCAGGAATTGCAAATATATCCCAATGAACTCCCAGTGAACCACACAAACTTCAGCCACATTGCTGTTTTACTAGAAAGAAAGAGGTAAATTGTGTTTTTCTGAGAGAAACTAATCAAGGGTCTGAAGAAATGCAAATAGTTAATTCAAGTGAGTGCTGTAAAACTGTAGACTTTATTAACAACCACACTTTCTTTCTCTTAGGCATTTAAACAAATTAATTTTTCTACTTGAACAGCTAATTCTATGTAAATTAATTAATATCTTCTCTTATTATGAAATAACCTTTTTTAATCAAGTATTTATTTTATACCGGTTGAAAGCAAGCTGTCATGATTTTATGAAATTTTGGGGATTTTTTAAAAGACAACTGATAACAGCAGATTGCTGCAGAAGGCACGAGATTGAGCATGATTTCACACATTACCAAGTTATGATAACTTAATTCTATCCCAGGTTTTCTCAAACTACATAAAACTATTTCTAAAGCCACTGCATAAAATTCTTATGGTATCAAAATCACTGGGAACTTCCACTGCTGATTTGAGTGTGGTCAGCTCTTTTTTCTGGCTACAATTGTTCTCCCAAAAAAGTCTTTCTAAATAAACATATTCTAATAAAATCGTTTTGTTTCAACAAATTCCTGCAGGGAAACCACAGACCTTTGTTTGTGAGTGTGGAAAAATGTAACTCTAAACTTCTTTGCTTTTTCTGGGCTAATTTTCCATGGATTTTAATTTTTAGATTATTTTTGTGTTGTTTTGTTAATTCCCAAGGTTGACGTGTTTGCATTTGACAAATACAAATTGTCGAAATATTGGTTTTGTAGTACTTGTAAAACTCATTGAGAACAGCTGTTACTGTTTAGAGAGCTGGATAAGATTATTCCTGAAATTAAATCTGAATATCTCCCAGTTCTGTTGTTTAACAATTTGATGCCTGAGAAGATAAGGCACTTCAATCACTACTAGTAGAATCAATCCTTAATAGTAGCACAGCATGTCATTATTTCACTTGTTGGGTAGTAGAGGTATTAGCAGCAGTAAAACTGTTTTAGTGGGTGTGCAGGAAATTTAAGAATTAATATAAAAGTTATGTGATAAAACTAAAGAAGAAGCTAACATTTATAAACAACTGCTTTGTTTTGTTGCTTTTTTGGTAGTGTAGACAGTTATATTTCACTTAGCAGTTTTCTGCAGCTTGGTGTGAAATCTGGTTT